TCTCATACACACTCTTAACCCCTCTTTTATTTTTTTGTAGACTAAAGACCCGAAATCCTTCAATGGTAAATGTAAGTAATGGTTCTTTGATCAGTTTCATTTCAATTACAGTTAATAATTATCAGTATTGAGATGTAACACTAGTTAAAGGTTATTTTGAATAACATTGATTGATTTCTGATAGAAAATTATGATCTATTTAATGATGTAATTATTATGAACTAAAATGAATCCAATTTATACTGGCTACTATTAATTGTGAAATCCAATTGCAATCAAAATTAGATTTCATCGATGGATCAAGCTTAGAATCTTTAGATCATTTGATGATCATAGTTTGTGTAGATTACTAAATAAATATTCGTTATTCAACATTTCCTACTGCATCCAGTTGTCATCTAGTGATATCGATGATAATTGTAAACTGGAAGAGTCCTGGTACGTTAAGTTCTTTGTAAAAGTCAGACAGATAAAATACCAATTTAGGGTCAACAGCGCAACGTGGAATTTAAATATGGAATGCCTTTTAAAAGAAGAGGATTATGTATCTGATTATGGTCTCTCCTCATATATCGTTTTCTGAGCTAACGAGGGCAAATATTATAAATCCTGATGATGTTTCTACATTATGATTCAATTTTGTTAGTTTATATCCTTTTACTCTTCCCAATCTTCGCATTTTGGAAACCTGGTTGATCGCCGTTAGAATCTCTAGATCGTAAATGAATTAAATTAAAGACTGTAACAGATAACTATGTCTAAGCTGTCTCACCTGAACTTCACCAGTCACTATGTTTCACAGAGACCTGAAGAATACATGAGTGGATCTAAGTTAGACAACCATTGACAATCTAGAAACATTGTACAGCCGTTTCGTCCTAGTATGCGACTCCTCAACAGTGTGTATCCACGATCCCGAACAGAGGACTCGAACCTAGAACCTTCGGTCTCACATATGAACACTTAACCTCTTAGTTAGATCGACTCATCAATTCAACTATCAAAATTACTACAATCCCCATAAACTCTCATTCTGATTAAAATATGTGTTTGTAGAGATTGTTAGCGGACTGATAAATGGAAATTTTGTGATCGAATCCCGATAGGGTTATATGTTTTCACTTTCAAGTCCCATACTACAAAAAGGATGATTGTCTACCAATCCTCAGTTTCTTATTGGTTTGTCAGTTAATGATACGTCATGATAAATACTTACTAATTCTATTTAGTTAATATTCGTTAAACGAATATATTTGGTCTTTTAATTGACATATGTCGAATTCATTTGTGTTTCCGTCATAATTTGAGCTAATACATATAATTTAAACTAATAATGATCATTTTTTGGTGTAAATTTCAGTCATCTGAGACTTAAATTTGGTTCATTTCAATCAATTTAAAAATAGTAATTTAAGATCTTGAAGTAAACTTGTCAATCAATGTTTAATGTTTTGAAGAAAGAAAGTTCTATAAACATGAGATGATCGAATGTTTTAAGGTGGTGGCTAGAGGCAATCGATAAGAAAACCCTAGATCTAAGTTACATATTATTTGACACTTATCATCAAGGTATCCTGGTATTCTTGGAAGAACTGATTCTTTTTATAGAATTTGAGCAATTGACACGTATTTCATAGTCAGAGACATTACTATTGAGCTACTAGGTTAACTTGATCGACATAATCTGATCAACAATAAGGAAGATATAAAGTACATAGGACTGGTTACTACTCAATGGTCAATCGGTTGTAAATTCATCTGTTTGTTGTTCAGAAGGTCATTCGCGGTTGTAGTGGATCAGTGGTAATGCCCCTGACTATGAAATGGTCGAATCCTACCGGAAGGATCAGTTCTTTCAGGAGTACAAGTACATCTTGATGATGAGTACCATATAAGATGAAACATATGTCCAGGGTTTTCTTATTGGTTACCTTCAACCACTATCATACATCTGATATATAGTGCACGAGATATCTAATCAGTGAAATAAGTGGCCACGTTGAAAATTGGTTGACGAAATTCGACCAGCACTAAGAATCATTTAACATGTGTGACACTGGTCATCACTCACTGAGCAATCAATTGTAATTGATAGAGTATTATTTGATAGATCGCTGCGAAATAAAATAGTAGTATAAAAGTGCTCAAAACATAAATTTAGTTATCAGGACAATCTAATATTCCATATGCTAACATAGGATACATCGAAGGCGGTTTATATTGCGGACTTGTAACAATTAAAACAAACTGAATTTTTAATACATTGTAACAATGAGCTAAAATAGCCTTCATTTGATATTGAATATTCTTGTCAACTTATCATCAGATAAGCTACTTCCAACCATCATAACTTCAATATTAATCAGTTGTTAATGTTCAGTTGGTGGAGAAGATTTGTAGCTTAGAAAGATGGTTTTGATGGAGTTTTGTGCTCTGAGCTGGATGGTTTGGTCGTGGAGCTTTCATCGATCTTCTGAACGATGTGCTGATGATATCGTTCAGAAGAACGATGAAAGCTCCACGACCAAACCATCCAGCTCAGAGAACAAAACCCCATCAAAATAATGTACAGTTAGATGATGACTTATTCATAAAAATCATCATTTCACTGATTAAATAGTAAAATAAGTCTATATGAGATTTGTCTAACTCTATAGAAAATTTTTGAAGCTCATTGTGTGCTTTAATATAAATTAATTCTACTTTCCGTTTTCTTGCAACTGAAATTTATTTAGTCACAGTGATATACATGACCTTCTTCCCCAAGAAATAATTAATATAAACGTTAAATTGTTATAGGCATTTAGTATATAGCTTTTGACCTAGATTTTAGGATATTTAGTGCTGATCATATAGTCGTACATGCAACTTTAAAGCAACTAGTTCCTCCGGTTAAACTCAAACCCACCTTAGACAATATAGAATTCTCAACAGTGGTATATCTGATTTAAATAATTCATTATTTAAATGGACAAGCCATCAAATATTACAGTTACATAACCTTGAAGGAACTGATGGTCTCTATAGGATTCAAGACAGCTCAGGCTACTTTCAACCACTTAATATCAAACATAGAACACATTTATAACTATTCACTTAGACAATCGGTCGTATATGATCTCGATAGTCAGAATTAGATTAGCACTAAAAGAACAAATAAACATGAAATCCATCACTCCTCACTAATCAGTCGATGTTACAGTCAATATGAATTCTGTAATACACGTTTCATTTTATTTTTAAGCTCTTCAGTAAGATTCATCTGAATCCTCGAGATATCATCCGTTTTCTTGTGAGAGCTTAAATACTATATTTGTGGAATTTAGTTAGAAAAAGTGTCATAACTTTGTTTCGACATTCTCTATAGAAGTTTCAGATATTTTTGAAGCCACATTAATGAAAGCCTTTAACAGCGTGTATTTCATTTAGATTAAAATTCACCTCTTTCGGTTGTATGTATATATTTATATCCAAGCTGGTAATCAAGTAAAGTTTCATTTATTTGACGCTAAATAACATATTTTTGAATGATTTGCAGATACACCAAGATTGCTTTCACTGAAGTGAGACGCTTTACAAAACTGCAAACCAGTAGTTGAATGTCAATAACCATTCCATATATATATATATATATATATATATATATATATATATATATATATATATATATATATATGATCTAAACATTTGTTAATATCAATAAGCATGGTATCTAATTTAACTTGACATAGTTTGAATGATCCCGCTGTTTGTATTCTTGACTGAATTGTAATCAGCCTTAGTTCGTATGTGTTTTTTCTGTAAAAGTCGTTTCAATATAGCCATTATGTCACAAGTTTTTAATGAAAAGATAGAATGCGGTTAGTAGTAACATAAATGATGCAGGCTTTGTCTTATTTGGTACTGGTTATCTAGATATACTTGTCTTCTCGTAATGAAGTTCACATTGAGATTTGAACCAAATGCATTTTGCTTCAAACAACTAACGTATTTTCATCATTTGAGATCATGAGTCAATTGAAGCTAGACCACCATGGAAAACCTGGAAGCACTAGATGGTAACCATCATGTTTAAAATGATTGCTATTGTTTTAAGAGTTTAGTCGCACATTAAAGCTTCATCATGTCATTTGATTGACTTAAACAATGGTTTATTAAACTACTTATGAATTTATGAATGACTATGTCAGAAATTAATATCAGTGTTTCCAGACGATTGCTTCTGATCATCTAGCATTAAAAGATAGTGAAAACGATTTTGAGTCACTTAGACTAATGACCACATTACAACCTGTTAGATAAAATTCATACAGAACTATGACAGTGGTCATAAAACAATGATCCGTTAATGTACATATTCATATGCATCTCGGTTATACTTACTACGTTGAAGAAATGGATCCTATTCATAGTTTGTAGGTAATTTTCTATTATATTTAACTCAACTGTAAAACTATAGACCAACAGTTTTCATTTCATATCTATCAATCAATCTACATATATGTGTAAATAAGAGAATAGTTACATGATCATATGAATCAGTAAGTAAGATCCCTTGATTTTGTTTATTTTCATAAATTGTCACATAATAATCTACATAAATGTTTTACTACTTTAGTCAAATGACAAATGATTTAACAGTCATTTATACTCAAACCCACGATGGTTATAACTAAAGAAACTTTACAATGATTGAATTCATTTAAGATTTGCATTGATGTTTATCAGTATTTACTAAAGCTATAATTTGACTATTTAACATAAAAAAAACTTTAAAACAGTTAGTGTGGTAATAGTTGTGTTCTAATTATCTACCTCTGGATTGATATGCCAAGTATGTGATTCATTCAATTTCTGTATATCTACTGATATACTGATATCATCATTATTAACTGTACTAAATCAATACGAAGATATATATATATATATATATATATATATATATATATATATATATATATATATATATATATATTTGTATAATTGAAATCCAACATCCATCAGTAATGAATTACATTCCGAGTGTAACTTGCTGAAGTTGATAATCTCATGTTAAACTGTAATTATTAAGGATTACGAGTAGTTGATTAATAAACATTGTAAGGGAAAATGTTGTTTATTATTCGGTAGTAACTTATTATCAGTTGTATTTTGTAGTTTTGCATCACGGACTGATGATAGACTACTGAAGAAGCAATTGTTTTGTTCTAGAACAGGATTTTACAGAAATCCTCATCCACAACCTCATCAATGATCAAATCAAAAACTTTTCAGACTTCACGGAGGGAGCTTAATCTTTGATTGGTTGTCTAAGTAACCTTAGTTCATGACTAATCCTGTGAAATTGGATAATCCGTCGATTTATTTTCATTTACACATGTGTAAGTCTGAATAGATTTGAGATGATTACTGATGACATACTTGATCATTGTGGATAACCTGTATGCATATTTGACTCACAAATCCAATCATAATGAATGCTTTTGAAGACTATTAATTTTAGGAAAGTATTTAATACCTAAATATGCAAAATATTTGAAACAACTTGAGCCTGTATTTACTACTAATATTGCACATCTCAATTATGCTACATATTTAAATTAATCTATCTCACTGTCATTTGAGAAAGATTTCTTTGGTATACTGACTTTTGATCCATGAGTGATCTGTTAACGGATATTTCTCAATCCCCTACTTTCTTACTGATTTGATTATTGTAATACTTGATTGATTGTATTAGTAAATCCAAAGAGAATTCCTATCTTGAACAGTTATAGATTGAGAGTGTTCTTGAAACTGAATGATGAAAAATGATGACATTCCGAACTTATGAATAAAGGAAATCTACCGAAAGTTGCAAAATGGAACACAAGAACTTTATGTTTCATAACTAAAAGACTGATCAGAATGGGTTTTGTGGAGAGTTTTAGAAATTTCACAGGTTGAAATCATGAGTCGATTGAAGCTAAACCACCATGGAAAACCTGGAAGCACTAGACGGCCGTTTCGTCCTAGTATGGGACCCCTCAGCAGTGCGCATCCACGACCCCGCACCACGCGGGGCTCGAACCCAGGACCTAATGGCTTCGCGCGCGAGCGCTTAACCACTAGACCACTAAGCCGGCATCCGACGGTGTTAATGTCTAAGTTCAACCAATCCACGAAGTTGCGCCACCGTACACCATTGTCTTCAGTGAGTTACTATCTCACAACAGACCTGGTTGAACTCCACTGGTAACGGCTTTTCACTATAACTCCAGGAGTTTTTCCTGAAGTCAGTCACTAGTGAGCAGTTGATTATTGTCAGAATGGGTTTCGTGGACTGAGTTTAACAAATCTATGTGCACAAACTGATGGATATTAATACAGTTTTACACTTGATCCATTCCAACAAGTTGTTTTAACTGTTGTTGTCTGTTTGTAAAATCTGTACTCAAATTACGGTGTCATAGATATAAGAATTATAGAGATTGATTTCTGCGCATTATATAATGAGATGAGTTATCAGATTTACATCTAGTCCAGATTCAAGATAAAAGGATAGAAAAAGTCATGTACTGAAGAATTCGATAATACACTAAATCTTAAATTTTATAACAACAGAAAAACATGCTAGTAGAAAAATAAAACACAAGTCGTCAATGACATCGTAAAGGTGAATATTAACTAAGAAACTCCTAGAGATGGAACGAGGTAAGTTTTCGTAGATAAAAAAATGAATTTCTGGTCAAAAGTCTTGAAATCATTCTTATGATGAATTTAAATATTTCAAATATGTTTTGATTGTGTACTGAAGTGGATTCTTTTACAAGGGATGAAATAACTGTTCAAAATGCTCCGGGTTCTTTGAATAGTTGTTTAACTTAAGCTGGTTTATGATGTGAGCTAATTGTTACAAGCCTTCAATCTCTATAATAAACGTATTTTAATCAATAGTTAACGTTTAGAAGAACTTCATATATTCTGGTGAGAAGCTATAACCTGTAGAATATCAAATACGAACATAAGACATTTATCTCTTTGGAAATCAATGATAATGTTGCACTGCCATAAATTCCATGAGGTTGGAATTGGAGAACTAAATGATTCTAGCTCAACGATTTCAAGACAATATGAAGTCCATTAGTTCTCATTTTTGAGGATTCCTATAAAGGTACAAAACGCCTATCATATATTTCCGGATTTTCCATGATTATTCAACCAAGATTACCTTTATTTGTATCTAATTCTTGTTGGATATTTTAGTTTAGTCAGTCATTTAAGTTCGTATTTAGGAGAAATTTATTCCTTTAAGCTTTGTTAACACTTATTTCATTGTTTATATCAATAATCCATATATTTTGTAAATTATTATTTGTTATATGTCTGTTTCAGTATGTGGAGTATGTTTGAAATTTTATAATTCCGCCATGTCATTGTTTCTGGATCATACTAAACTTGAACATTTACAAGAAAAATTAATTAATGTCTGTGAATTTATAGGACCATTTCGTGATCAAGTCAGTTGAGTTAATAAATTAGATTTTCTTTAAATTGTTATTTTAGTAATATTAATCTAAAACTAAATGTTTTACCATATGTAAATGATAGATCTTTTCTTGATAAGACTTCAAGAGGACAGAAGTGTGTTGTTTAATGGCATCAGAGAATTTCAAAGATTCGAAGTAAATGAAATTTATGCTTTGATACCGTTGATTTGTTATACAACAGTATTCTGTGGAAAACATGAAGATCTTCAGTTTTATCTCATTGAAACTACAACGTTAGAATTGCCAATAATAGCAATAACTAACTCGATTTATAACTTTGATACGATACCAAATAATAAAATAAGTTATCAGTTTAGGGTTGTGGAGATTGTTGAGTTTTGATTGAGATTATGAGTCGATCAGTGTTAGACTACCAGGCCTTTTCGTTCTCGTATGAAGCTCCTCATCAGTGCACACCTACGATTCTGCACGTGGGACTCGAAACCAGGACATTCGATCTCATACTCGAACACTTAACTTCTAGACCACTGAGTTGGTACACAGTGATGTTAATGTCTAACTTCAACCAATCCACGAAATCGCGTGACAGTTCTCGGAGTTCTAGTGAGAAACTGAGGTTGATGGAGTTCAATCCGTGTTGAGTAGTGACTGGCACCTACCTCAGACAATCGAGTCACTCGTGAAGGATTGTAGATGCATACTAATGAGGAATTCCATATGATGACGAAACAACCGAATAATGCTTCCAGGTTTTTACTGGTGGTCTAACACTGATCGATTTATGATCTCAATCTTCTTCTTGCAGTAGATCGTGTAAGGCTTGGAACCTGATATTGAGAGTCATCTTGAATTCGTTGAGTTTGACAGTATCTCGTAAGAAGGTTGTATTGAACCTTCGTACTACTGTCTTCCCAGCTGTTTAGTGTTTCTTTAGATTCAGTTTCATCTTGACCATAACCAGACGGTGATCTGAAGCTGTCAGCTCCTCTCCTGGTTCTCACATCTTCCATAATCCTATTGAATTTTTTATTGATATAAATATGATCGATCTGGTTCCCCGTTATGTGATCCGGTGAGATGCATATGGCTTTGTGTATGCATTTGCGTGGGAATATTGTGCGAGCTAAAACCAATTTGTTGAATGCACCTAGGTTTGCAAATCTCTCACCATTTTTATTTCTTTCTCTCTCAGTCCATGTTGTCCCATGGTATCTTCATATCCAGTGTTGTGTGTTCCAACATTGTCGTTTAGGTCTCCCATCAAGATGATCAGGTCTTTTCCTGGACACTTCGCTATCATCGATTGGGGCTTTTCATAAAACTGATCTTTATTGTCGTTGTTGCTATCATTGGTGGATGCATAACATTGGATAACACTCATTGTGATTCCCTCCTTCTTTGTTTTGAATAATGCTTTGATGATTCTGGGTTCATGAGATTCCCATCCTATAAGTGCATTTCGTACTTGTTTGGACAGTATCAGAACAATTCCCTAAGTGTGTGAAATATTTTCCTCTTCATGACCGGAGTACAGCAACATCTTCTCTGAATTCATCCTTTTCTGTCCAGCTTGAGTCCGACGTATTTCACTGATTACGAGCACCATCGAGTTGTAACTCCTCATTTTGTAGCTATTCGAATAGTCCTCCCGGTCTCCCACATTGTCCGGATATTTCATGTATCTATATTAATTGTTGCTCCGGTTGTTAAAAGAGATATCGGCCTCGTTACTTCTGAAGAGCCTCGGCTTTCATCATGAGGCCTCATAATACTTCTGAGTGAAGATCCTTCAACTCGGAGGAGAGCGTTCAAATGGTTTAATTTGTCTAATTTCACTAGCGTTTTTTTAGCAGGTTATTTTACGGGATGGGGTTGTCGACCCCACGCCCAACCCCCATCCTTTTGTGGGCTTGGAACTAGAGGTAGTCCTAGAAGAGCTACAGTCGGAGCTTGATATCTCTGAAGCTTTAACAAAGTGGATCTAGAAAGTCCACATATTGACATCTGGAAAGCATATACGAGAAGCTAGCAGACTATGTCGCTGACGGGGCAACGCAATAGTATCATATCAATCTACTTTATGCAAACTGAAAGACATAACAGTGAATGAAGTTATCTCTTGATTTATTTGATAGGTATTAATTAGTGTCTTTGACTTACAGTCACACTCTGATTGTGAGGTCTAGTGATTCTATCCAAATACCTAGATCGAAATAGATGGAGAAGTTTTGATTATGGGATTAGTGGTTAAAATTTAAACGCTTTAACCACTGAGCCACCTCTTTATCAAAGAAAAGCGAATACCATACCATATATAAACTAAGTTGAGCAAACAATACATTGAACAAAGTGGACTTTAGCTGCATATACATGTACATGAACATAGTCTAGTAATAATAGGAAATGTCACTGATTATGTCGGTGTTTTCAGACGACTGAGTACATGAATGTGACTGAGGAAGCATAAGAATTCTAAGGTTGAGGTAGCTCAAGAATACGCAAAACGTTTTTCAAGCACTTCATTTACGTCAAACCAGAGTCACTTGATAAATAGACAAATTTAATCTATTAATTCATAAAAAAACGGTAATGAATCACACAGTAAGGAGTGAATCAAATAAATTAATCGGTTCTAGTATATAGATGGAGGAAGATATAATGCAGGCTATTGTATCATCAGTGGATTGATTGAAAAATTTAACTTATACTTGCAGTAAGAGATGATATAATTGTTCATTTAAACCAAGTAGCAAAGAGAATAGAACATTACCTAAATACATTTCATATCTTGGAAATTTTGAATAAGTATTAAGTGATTTCATGCAATATTTCTACCTACTGTACTAAATTGGGAACTGCCCAGCATATAGAGTGTAATAATTATTGATAGTAGTTATCTAGATTTTTTAAATCCATTCGTCTACATTACGAACCTGAAGAGCAAGTATTGATTTTAAGTAGTGTAATGAAAGTATTTGCCACTATTTACTTGGCATGATTTGATAGACAGTTTATTAAAAACTTTATTCTACTAACTTTTACTGTACTACATAATTGAATTATGTGATAATTATTCGAGTTTCGGACTGAACATCAACTCTGGGATGCAAGTACATTCAGCTGACCAGTCCTAAATGAGAAGAAACGCGCGTCCTGGATTCCACTGTTAATCACCATTATATTTACTTATAATGCTTGTAACTTGAGGTAATATCGATGTAATCCGCATACAGTCCACACATTTCAATATGAGACTGATCAAATGCGATCCTAAACATAATCGGGAAGATTCAAATAAACAGTGCAGAAATGAACTACTAATATTATTATTACTAGTACTGTAGTAGATGCTACTCACAAGATTTCTTGTAAGTAGTATATTGCGAAACGTGGCGTTGAAGTTGTTGGACAAAGTGAAGAATTTCGGTATAACAAAAGCAGAGCGTCATCACAATACTTGAAGATCAGATGAGAAAACAGTTTAGATTGCACTATACACCGAAAGATACAAACATGTATATATGTATTGAGTAAATGTTTTTTAATTGCTCCCAATAAACATATATATTCCTTCTACTCATTTCCTTCTTTTACAGTAGTATCAATATGGATAGAAGTATTTACAAAAATAATAATAACTCCAATGTTCATGTGTTTTCTCTGTATTTTTGTAGTGTGTATCCCTAGTCACATTTACAATGTTTAAAGCAATTAATAAATCTATGGCCCAAATCGACCCATCGGTATCTTGTGAAGTATGCAGTTTTTATTTAGATCTTTATCAAAATTTTCTTTAAATTATATAAATTTATAAAAAAAGAAAGCGATTGCTCTTAGAAACCAATTTTAGTTATAATTACTACTTAAATATATTTCAATCCAATTCGAGAGGAATCAGTTTAAATCTTGTTCAATTTTATCATTGACAGATAATGAATGGATTGGTTGATGTTAGACACCACTGGATGCCGGCTCAGTGGTCCAGTAGGTTAAGCGTTCGCTCGCGAGACCGAAGGCCTTGGGTTCCAATCCTGCGAGTTGCGATCGCGGATGCACACTGCTGAGAAGTCCCACAATAGGACGAAACGACAGTCTAGTGCTTCCAAGTTTCCAAGGGTGGTCTAACATCAATCGTTTCATGATCTCAATAAAAAAATAATGAATAGATTTGTTAAGAGATTTAAAAGTGTTTTCATATATTTTCACTGTCATTTAAATCCTTAAAGATACTCAATCAGAAGAAGATGATTAAAACATTTGGTATGACTATAATTTATGAACGACCTTTGAGTGAGGTTAAAATGACCTTGAGAATGTTCACCTACTAACTAGGACTAAATGATGGTTATAAACCGAAGTGACGAATTCGAATTATGATTAACAGTTGATGGTTAGGGTTAGGAATAAGATTTAGGTTTTTGATCACGAACTAACATAAGCTATAATGACAAAACTCTGTTAAGACAAATGGATGAGTTAAGCGCCAAAAATCCGAGACCTGGTATCGTAAATCTGATTGGTTCGTCCATAAATTATGGTCTCGCCAGTAAAATCTTTCAACATTAAATATGACATTCTATGTGTAATGTTGAGAACAAGAATTAAACTCTGAAATATGCAGGAACTTTAAGTAACTTGATTATTTCTATTTACTTGAGAGTCATCTGTATTCAGTATATCTGTCAGTTATCATTAAAATTGATGATACTGGACTAATCTAGTGATTAATTTACGGGAATTTTATTTGGAAATATAACGAACTTCTGACTGAAGAAACTTAAATCCCATTAGAAAGTAATTAAGTATTTTTCTGTAAATCAAAGGCTGAAACAAACAATAATCATCAATGATTTTGAGATGGTGGAGAAGATTTGTAGCTCTAGTGGATAATTTTGGTGGAGTTTTGTTCTCTGAGCTGGATGGTTTGATCATGGAGCTTTCATCGTTCTTCTGAACGACATCATCAGCAAAAACTTCAGGTAGAAGTGAAGTGTTCGAATTTCTCCATATATGATAGCTCCACGACCAAACCATCCAGCTCAGAGAACAAAACTCCACGAAAATCATCAATGATATTCATAATAATTATATATGATAATACGCAGTTCCTCATGACAGCTAATATACTCAGAATAAAAATAATTGAAGGAAATTTTTCAATACTCCAGGAGATCATCCTTGAAATAACAATAAACCTATGACGTTCTATATGTTGTATCTTAATTTCTAAACGTTATTGTTTTGTTTTAAGTATAATCACCAATGAGTATATATTTCTTGTTAAAATATTGATGTGAAGGTTTCATTTCTTTGAAAAGTAACCCTAATCAAAATGATTAAAAACATGAACAATCACATCATTTCATTCCTCTTTACTTACCTATTACAACAATCAATAATCATGAGCTGTATAGACATGAATCACTTTATTTTTTGTGTATGTAGTAACATATAGGATATAATCCCATGATAATCTAATACATTGAAGATGATCATTTTCTAATATAAAGAAACTTCTTCTATGGAAATAAACATTGTAAGTGTGTAGTGATCATCATTATCTTCAATTAGGTGTTCGCGAATAACTTAATCCATTTTTGTTAGGAACTTTCATTTGATTATTTAAACGTCTAGGACAATCATTGTTATAAGTTTCTATGTGTTTAATTCAGACTTGTATGGCAGCAAACAGTTTTGATTGGATTCGATCAATAATCTTGATACTTACTTGAAAATCAATTCGTTTTTTAATATAGAATAGATTTATTTGATATTTCACATTATTTTTGTAAATGCCGAGATAATACCCTGAAACTTGAACCTATACAAGTAGTTTTCTTCGTTTACCGCCTACTAAATCCTTGTCGTCAAGGTCTAGTTAACAACTTTATAAAGAGATATTAGGAGACACATCTAGTAAGTAAGTAATTAGGATCCTGGAACCAATTAATACTATCCTTTTCTATTCGTATTTAATATATCAGTTTCGGCACTTATGTCATTCCCCCCCCCATCATTTTGGTAGAAAAACGAATGGTTAAACCTTTACTTGGTTATTAAACTCATCATCATCATCATCAAAATTTTATGCCAAGAAGTTATTGTATCTTGTATCTATAAAGTATTAAATTAATTTTTTTAATATTTTCTATTTCAGGGTTGGTATTTATGTTATAGAAAATAGACAATCTAGTTCAATCAATGCATGAAACTGTGGATCTTGAATGAATTGAATACAGTGAAAAGTTACTGATTTATTTTTTCTTTTAATGATAAATAAATCTTTAATGTTATAGATTTTAACTAAACGTTTCATACCATATCAAATACTCTATAACTAATTTAGAATAATACTAACCAGAGAATTAATCAATAAGTGAATCTTTTCATTGATTATCTTATGCTTATAATAAAGTTAAATGATTTGATCATGGATGCACACTACTGAGGAGTCCCATACTAGAATGAACCGGTCGTCCAGTGCTTCCAGGTTTTCAATAGTGGTCTAGCTTCAATTGACTCATGATTTCAATCTGTGAAATGTCTAATATCTCCACAAAACCCCTTCTGATAATTAAAATCAAATCATAATCTATTGAATTAATAACTAATTAATAGAAGATAATTATAAACCTAAGAGTATTAAATTCACTTGGTACTGTTTGGTTTGTATCTTCCCATTGAGGTTTAAGACTGCAATGGATTAGTCTGTTATTGGCACATGTGCATACTGTGCATATGCCTCGGTATTGCCTTAATTCATAAGCTTTTTGTAAGCAATGACGGATAGTGGCTAGCAGTGGAATCCAGGACGCGCGTTTCGTCCTATTTGGGACTCGTCAGTTGGATGTACCTGCATCTCGGAGTTGATGTTCACTCTGGGACTCGGACCCAGTACCATTCGCTTCAAACGCCATCACGTTATCCACTCAGCTACTGAGTCCTGATAGTCTTCCTTTCCTTAATAGTTTCTCAATGACTTCTATACTTGATATTAAAAATAAGAGAAATAAGAATTGCCCATTATTAATGATGAATAAGTTAAAATTCAAGAATTTATAATGATGAATTTGAATGAGCACAAAATTTAGTTTTCTTCAGTTTTTAGAATATTTCATAGATTGATCTGTAACTGTAATATTATGGAGTCAGATATAAAATCTGAATAATCACTTCTATTGAAATTTGAAACAATTAGTCCCTTTGATAAATTTCGGTAATGCAATGAGAAGACGTCGTTTATCAGAATTATGTGATATATTTGCGCAATACATTTCGAACAATCTGATCACACATATACTTGTTAAGAACATTTATATGTGAAAATTAAAAGGTCAGCTAGACAGGTTAAGGGTAAGTCATAACAAAGGAAAAATATTAAAGTACCACTCTGGACAATAAATAGTATTACCAGGGTAGGTTAAGTGTAAGGACAAATTGGTTTTGGACACAAAAAGGGGGTTTCAATTTCCGTATAGTCAAGGTTTCAATAAACCTTAGTATACGTCCTTGAAGGCTTTTGTATAACACTACAAATGCTGATTTGATGTCAACTATATGACCCGTCCCAACCAAATGTTTCGCAATGGAGGATGATGCCTGTCTATCATTTGATCTTATTTGACCATTGGAATCTATTTGTTTCTGCAACTATTTTGGTATGTGTTCACCCACCCTTAATTACAAATCACGATTGCTCCTCCCTATGTACGTGTTTCCACACATATATGTAAATTGATAGACACAATGGGATGTGACACAATCACTTTCGTGCTGTTCGGGCTTTTGGTGAAACATAGACTTTGTCTTTTCGATAATAACAAGTTGGGCTGCATAAAATGTCCAGTTGATAGCTAATTTAAGTCTCCGTTTCAGCATGAGACTATTTGTGTCTCCTCTGAATGGTAACGTAATATAAACTCGCTTTTTGGGTGCCAGAAGAGTCATAGGTTTAGTCGAATTGTAACCCTTCCAGCGGTTTATGAACTTCAAAGAATAACCGTTATTCATTAACGTATCAGTCAAGATCTTCGTCTCTACTCTACCTTTTAATTTTCACATATAAATGTTCTTAACAAGTATATGTGTGATCAGATTGTTCGAAATGTATTGCGCAAATATATCACATAATTCTGATAAACTTCGTCTTCTATCTGAAGTTTGTGCTGATGATGTCGTTCAGAAGAACCATGAAAGCTCCACGACCAAACCATTCAGCTCAGAGAACAAAACTCCACCAAAATCATCCACCTGAGCTACAAACCTTCTCCACCATCTCAAACTTCGTCTTCTCATTGTATTATCGAAACTTCTACTGACTTTGATTAAGGAAGATTTCTGAAAATTTTAAAATGTAGACATGACTACTTAATGAAAAATTTAAGAATAAATATACTTTGAAAGTTAAAAATCAGTGTCATTGATAGAAACTCTTAGGTTATAAGTTTGATCCTTATGTAAGTTTGGTATATAGTAATAAGCCTGAATTAAGTATTTATACAATTTATATTCTTTAATGAATTTGTATCTGAGTTACAGAAGAATTCTATATTGACTCACAGTGATTGAGCAACCTGTATAATAATCATTTATCAATAATTAGTAAGTAACTCCTAGGGGGGGATTTATTTTAGAAGACAACTATTTAAACAATTAGAATAAAATTACTTGAATATAAGTGATGTAGTAAAATTCGATAATAATTTACTAGACTACTATCAAAAAGGTTGTTTACATTTCAACAGTATATTTGTTTAGTAATCAGAAAAATAATCAATATTTCATATTATAGTCGATTACATTAGGAAATGTTATTCATCCATATTGAAAGTGTTATACTTTTGAACAAAATCCAGCATTCTATCATAAAGCCAAAAACAAAACAGATAAAGATTTGAATGATTTAAAAGTTCTTATTATGAAAAGGAAATTATAAGGAAACTAAAATATATAACAATCACCGATGGAAATCAATTATTTTATAACAAAGTTACTAACTGATTGACTCTTCACAATCGGAATAATTAAATCAATAAATGGTTGTACTGTGATAATTTATTATTACATAACCAGGAGATAATTAGGCGTATAGAATATTCGACAGGCTTTACTTCGAAATACTTTGATGGATTTTAACTGCGTAAAATAAAATTTATCATGGAAACAGCTGTGATGTGTGCTACTTATATTGACGTTATATATACATATATATATATTGATGTTAGTCGTGAACAGAGGGTCTGACAGCAGAGAGACAAGAGGATCGAACAGTAAAGAATGGAAACAGGATGCAATTTGTGTGCAATTGCAAGAACAATGAAGTCTGAGTCATTTTGAGACAATTAATGAACATTTTGCAAACTAAGCATTTACTTTATGATTGTTAGATTTTATTAACAAATCCTGTAATTTTGTGTCTAACACAATTGATTGTCCCCGCTGATGTTCTTGTTCACTACACCGTGATAACTTATTCCATTAGGTGAAAACTACTTGTTTAGGGTAAAATTCATTGATAGTACAGTTTTATGAACTGAACTGTCAGTATAATTCATGTTTATAAATACACACTTCCTTGATAGTACCAGTGTAATAGTTTATGGTTAGGAATGTGACATGGGTCAAAGTAGATTTCAAGTATACAGTTATATTTATTCTCAGCATTCCACTAAATCTTGGTTTAATTATTTTATTTTTGATTGGGATCACAAATCAATCAATTTTGGACCACCATTGGTAAACGTGAAAGCACTGGATGACTATTTCGTGTTAATATGAGACTCCTCAGAAATGTATCAACGGCCCCGCACACGGAGGAACTCTGAGAAGTCCCATACTAGAACGAAACGGCCATTCAGTGCTTGAGCGTTTTCAATGGTGGTCAAACATTGATCGATTCATAATCTCAATCAAAACTCAACAATCTCCACAACTCTATACTGATAAATAATTTATTCTTAGTTTTTCATTTTTGAATGGAACTTCATTGTTTAAATTATAGCTCTGATGTTCACATTTCCACTTCAGTTGAAGTTATTTTCTCTTGTTTACTGCCGCTCTTGTAAATTTTTATTCTTGCTGTACTGATGTAAGATTTGACCCTTCAAATAGATAAATATTTATGACAGGTTGTTCTTTGAAGATGTCTTGAATTTTAACTGACCATCGAATTTCCTACCTACTTGCATATTTATGTGTGTAAATTTAGATCAGAGATGAGGAGTAAACTCAGTCAAAGTCTAGTTAATTAAAAATATCAACCATGATAAGATATTTCTGGGTACAGAATAACTTCGTATATCTACTTCAATGATCCTTTTGTTACCAATTAATTTTTTTCCCATTTTTTTTACAATAAATCTCCTAAATGATTTCATTAATTAATTAAAGAGTTTTATTGATTTAACATTTACTTTTATGATATGCTTTATAATAATCAAGTTACTTAGATTATGGGGAATGTGAAAACGATTATCCGATATTTGTAACTATGTTGATTTCACTAAAAAAAGATGCTTTATTGATCACTTATAATCAAACAGTAGTTCTTTTATTCTGTAAATAAGTAAAAATTAAACAGAATTATGTATTCCTATTGATTAACGTCAAACATCTTACATTTTATAATAGTATCCGGGATTACATTGTAGCTTAATCTCTAGAAAATCTATTAAGACTAACAGACTAGACAAACATCATATTGACCATTACACAGTGATCAATCTGTTCTTCTATTTGCATCTAAATAAACTTTTACTACACTTATATTATCACCGCTTGTTCAAGTCAAAACACAGAGAGTAGAAAAACTTTGATCCATACATTCAAAGCTTATGTTTATATGAGATTTAATACATACCATACTGATATTTAACTTGTAATAATTAAACAATTTAAAAGGGTTGTCTATTTATCCCACTCTATCAATTCATTTAACTTTAATGAAACAAAATTTAGATCTAATTAAAAAAAATCATATACACCCTGATTACATTACCTGACAAAGGCGTTGTACAAGAAATTGTTTATTGAAGCTTAATGTTACTGCCAAGAACAAATCATGTAGGAATGGACCACACTAAAAAATAAAAGTAAAATTATAGTAAAGATTGAGGTGTTATAAAACAAAGACAAAATGCAAATTAAGTATAGAAGAGAGATGTGAAATTTGAAACAATTAATCCCTTTTGATAAATTTTGATAGGGTATAATAAGAAGGTGAAGATGATCAGAACTATATAACAAGGAGTCTAGTTAACAAGATTAATTGTCTTTGCACAAAAGACTCTATTAATGATGACATTAGGTTATTGAATAAAACAATAATGTAAAATGATTATCCTCTAAAACTCATAAATCGATGGAAAGGTCATGGTATAGTGAGACCCATTATAGCCTTGGCACAAACAAAAAGCCTGTCTACATCACCTTGCCGTTTAAAGGTGATTCAAATAGTCTTTTGTTGAAAAAAAAGCCTAAGCAGTTATTGACAAAACGTATTATTCAGTAAAAAATTATTCTCAAGGAAGAAACAAAGTCAATGCTTCACCAAAAACTTAAAAGACATAAAAACAATTGCGTCACATCCCACTGTGAGTGTTGCCACACATACATAGGAAGCAGTAATCGTGGTCTCCAAATTAAGGTGTGTAAACATGTACCTAAATGGTTGCAGAAACGAGTAAAATCGAATGACCCAATAAGAGTAAATGATAAATATCTATCATCATCTATTGTCAAATACATCGTTGAAATAGGTCACAAGATTGATTTTAACACGGCTTTTGTAGTGTCGTACAAGCGTAAAAGAATATATGCTAAGGTTTATTGAAGCCTCAGCCATATGAAAATTATTATAAAATACTGTATAATGTAATTATAAACAATTATATATGGTTTTAATAAACGACATCATGATTCTTTTCACTGGATCGTTTTAATTTTGATTAATTAATTCATTATTTGCAACTATTCCACAGTAAAATCCAAACGTTTGATTATATAATATCCGAAACATTTCAAATGGGTATATCTTTATCTTCATTTTACTGAGAATCAAATACAGGGATATTCTCCTGAACTAGAAAACAGTAACTAAGATGTTTAAACTGCAGTGAAATTTAGTGACTCAAACTATGACATTTGAGGTTACTGTTTGTCGGTTTGAGTTTCAGTATATGTGATATCAGTACCTGCTAGCTACTGTCAAATGTACATAAAATTTAATCTAAGGTATTGAATATTTTCCACAATTTCATGCTTCCATCGTCCTAAATTAGACGTTCGTTGATGATTGATTTAGCAATAGGCATAAATAGCGAACTGCATAAATCTATTGCATAAACAAATTGATTTAACTAAGGCCATTTTGGTTCACGTTCTTCATAGTAGCAGCATCTATACAGGAACTGTCAGATCATGTTTCGGATTACCTTCTTAGTCCCAATCTTTTTGGATGTCTTTGTTTTCTTAGGAATGGATGTCTACATAGCTGCTGGATTTGTGGATACCAACTTAATGGTTTGAGCGTTTAGATTTTTTCTACAAGAATTGAAAATTCTTTATTCAGTCACAAGAGATGTCGTGTGTGCATGCTGCCCAGTAGTCCTTTACTAAGACAAACAAGATGTTCAAAACCCTCTGGTTTTCCATTGTTGTCTAATTACAGTCAGTCCGTAATATAAGCAATGGAACATACTAAATATTGAATGTTTGCAAAAGTTCTCTAATAATTTATAGACTCTTGTTTTATGAGTAATAATAAATCCCCGCTTGCAACCAACCTGAAACAAAATGGTCACGCTACATTGTAGATTTGTTAGCGTTAAACACCAACACCGTTCGATACCGGCTCAATGGTCTACAGGTTAAGCGTTTGCACGCAAGACTGAAGATGTTGTGTTCAAATCCCGCGTACGAGATCGTGGATACGCACCGTCTATGAGTTCCATACTGCGACGAAACAGCCGTCTAGTCCTTTCAGGTTTTCAATGGTGATCTAACATTAATCGGTTCATGATTTCAACGGAATCGAAACAATATATTATCTCTTGTGTCTGAACCCACATCATGTATTATTATTACTAATTTTATAGACAAACAATTCTAAGTGAATCCATTTAACTATGAAACAATGGAATAAAAAACCATTGTATCGTTTAATCTGATTCCGAGATGAGTATCTGATAAGTAGTATGGTGTGTGCTACTTATATAGACATAAGTAGTATATGGTGTTAGTCGAAAACAGGTGTGGAAGCAGAGAGACAAGAGGATCGAATAGTAAAGAATGGAAACAGGATGCAACTTGTATGAAAATGCAATAACAATGAAGTCTGAGTCATTTTGAGACAATTAATGAACATTTTGCAAACTAAGCATTTACTTTATGATTGTTAGATTTTATTAACAAGTCCTGTAATTCAGTGTTAAATACATTCGATTGTTCACACTGTTAATCTTGTTCACTACATTTGGTGTCACTGCCAACCAGGAGGAGAGGGGTGTTGTTCTGTAAACACCGTTGCAGGCGTGGGGCTGAGGTACCAGTTGGGGCAGTCTGGTGAGGAGAGGTGGCGTCTAGTGGAGTGTTCTGGTGGGGCGGCGCTAGCTGTAGTCAGTGCTGTTGACGGAGAGGAGCGGTGGGACGTTCGGCTGCTGGGCGGATATCGGATGTAGATGGCTTAACAGGTCGGTAGTAGTTAATAAACAAAACCCAATAACTAAAAGAGTAATTATTTTTAATAGTAACATATTCTATTAGATTCTTCTGGGATTTGTTACAGTTAAATTTCAACGAACTCATCATAACTTAGGATAAGATGACTTCCAATTATTCAATTAATAAAAAGAAACCCAATGATCATACATAAAGTAAACATTTAATTGTATGAACTGTAATAAATAAAAAATAAGGAACTAGGTAAAACAATAAAACGTGTATACTTCAACTAAGCTAAATAAATATTTGAATAAATTTAATCAATAATTCCTAATCAATATATATGAAAATCAATAAATGAAAAGATTATCAAATCAATAAACAAAACAAATATAAATATTGACAAGTATAAACTTACAATGGGTGATTGATGGCGTTGTGTATTACACATATTTAATGTATTATTATATAACTCGGATACAAAAGTTTCCGACAATAATATTGATTTGATTGAAAGTCCAGATTTAAGGCAATATTCACAAACTAAATACCGTACAGAAAAAAGAGTTTTGATCAGTATGCAAAGAAAAAGTTGATAATTAGAACTACATTTAATCAAATTCACTTGGTGTTGTTTTACTTGTATCTCTTCAGTAGTTAAGTAGGTAACGCGATTATGTTTGAATCGAATGGTACTGGGTTCGAATCCCAGAGTGAATATTTACTCTGGGATATAGGTATGTCCATCTGACGAGTCTCAGATAAAACGAAACGTACGTCCTGGATTCCATTGCTAGCCACTATCCGTCTTTGCTTACATTCAATCAACTTTTGTTATTGTATATGAATTTTGAATGGATACCTCGAGATTGTTTAGAAACTCTTCAGTATGTCTTATCATCATTTTTTTATATTAGTTTATAGAAAATTAAGCTAATCAAATATTCAGAGGCTTAGAAAAACCTGTGTATATGATCATTATAGAAGGGTGACAGTATTGTACAGTGACAAATTTAAAGCAACTACAACAAATTTCCAACTAGTTTCTAGTCAATCAGCAAAAAGCGTTTATAAGTGGATGGTTTTTGGAAAAAGAAATAACCATATTACGAAGTATAAACAGATTTTATATAATTACTAAATACTTTATTATCTTCTGCCGGTTAGCCAGAGTATAAACCCAAAGAATAAAGACAGAGAAACGTGTTCTTATAAATAGAGATGGTCTATTTCATTAAACCCTTAAAAAGATAGAAATCGATTTTTAATAGTTTTCAGGCTGTTTCCAGTAAGCGTTAGGTATTTGGCGTTTGAATTTCCATCACGAACTGATATCATTTATAAAGTAAAAATTTCACACAAAAATATGAATGGTGATATCAGATTAGTCCATCTATAAAATATAATGCCACTAAAATTACGTTTATTTCAGAATGATGGATTTGTGGTTAGGTTTTAGGAATAATGTTGACTTCCAAATAAGAACTTTCGTCTAAATTTGATCGAATAGTTTTACAATATTTGGGCGCCGAGTTAATGTCAAACATTAAACAGAAAGAATGTATTTGTAAAATCTCAGCAAATGAATTTCAAGTAAATTCAACATTTCGTCTGGCAATCTAGTGCAAGTTTTCTTAAGGAAATAATAATCAAACATCAAATTTATCGAATATAAATAGGTATCTGATCCTCCGGTTTACTGTATACTGAATAGGACATCTAATCAACGTTACCAATTCTTAAAGTAGGTCTATACATTAGTGTGTAAGAGATATGTGGTGTGAAACGAAAAGTGTACCAAAATATAATATTGAGTAAAGTCATTAATAATAATAATAATAATAATAATAATAATAATAATAATATATTTTCGTAAAATTCACCGACACCAGACAAATGTATAGTGAAGGAAATTACTTCTTCTCACCGACGTATACGCACAATCTGTTATCTTAACACTTTTCGTTTCACACCACATGTCTCTTACACACTAATTTATATACCTACTTTAGGCATTGTTAACTTTGATTGGATGAACGTCGACTTCCGTTTCATAAACAATCTAAAGTAACATATTAAAGAGTTCGATAAGTTCGACATTATCATTTTTACTATATGGTTAAAGAAAGAGTAATGTTTCGCTAGCATTTTAAATGTTTTGCGCAGTATATAAATGCATTTTTACTAATTGTTATATAGGATACTTGAATTTCGTACAAAAATCTAAAAGTCACGTTCTCTATTCTACTTGCATTGTCTCCAAAGCATACAATTACTATGTACAGATTCCAATGGAGACCGACTAAATGAAGACTCGAATTTGATAATAAGAACGTTTATGCACGTTAAAACGTTGGTGCTATCTAGACTCTGTAGCTTAATAAAGAACAAGGCGTTCGAAACAATAAGTGCTGGTTTCGAGTCGCAGTTTGAACATTAACAATGAAATCTAAATGCAACCAGCCGATGAGAAAAAAATTGAAACAAATTATGTATTTCAAATGTTACTGCTAGCCATAAAAGAGAAGATGATAGTAAGCAAGTTTACTCCAGTCTTATGATAAAGTATGATTTCTTGTTTTAATTATCATGATACGATATTTTATAGCATCAAATCACAAGCCTCATAAATATAAACAGAAATTACGGTAAATTTATAGGCTACCCAAATGTTACACAAAATATTATAAACTCACCAGATATCTCAGGTGGGTAATTACAAAAATCGAATGTCTGAAAAACAATCAGTCATTTAATATTTAGTCACTCAATGAATTTATTAATGTTGTTTTGTTGAGATCACTAATCAATGTGGGATATACAACTACTGAAAATCTGGGAGCATTGGACAGCTGTTTCGTTCTAGTATGGAAGCCCTTACGATTGAGGATTCACAGCCACAGAAGATATAGGACCCAGAGCCTTTTATCTCACTCACAAGCGCAAAATATTCAGGGCACCGAGCTGGGATTCAATGATCTATAAGTTTGACTTCAGTCAATCATTAGTATCGCACAACCATCGTCCATTTTCTTTGGTGGGTACTTTCTTCATAGTCAACACAGTTAAACTCCACTGGTAATGGATTATCATTAAGACCCAGGAAATTTCCTCTCGAAGCTAGCCACTGATGAGCACATGATGATGATTAGTATGGGGTTTTGGCCTAATGCAGAAAATCCTGGGTTGAGTCCTTAAGGGCGAGGTGGTAGATGAGCTCTGATGAGGAGCCCCATACGAGGATAAGAAGCTGTCAAGTACTTTCGGATGTTCAATAATTGTCTAACTTAGATCGGTTTGTGATCTCAATAATTCTCAGCAATTTCCATGACCCTCGTATTGATAAATTAATAATAACACATTTTCAAGTTAAAACTATAAAAAACAAACTGAATTAAGTTATTAATGTAAGATTAAAGTTCGACAACTAATCCCAGTAGATAAAATGCACGTATTTCATGACTTGTGAATAACTTTATGTTTCGATTAAGACCTGATTACAACATCAGAGAGATTTATACTGCCTCTTTCAGTAAATTACCGTGATCATCTCTAACATTTATTTGCTTGAAAGAAATCAAACTTAGTCAAGTTATGTAACTTAATGAAAATGATAATTGCGAAATGTGAACACATTAAGTCTCGGTGAAATTCCGTTTATTGTTCAATCTAGTGAGGTAAACATCAATGTCGCATCAACAGATACTTAGTTCATGTCACTTAACAAAATTCAAATAAATGAAAAGTAAACAGAGGGAATCTAACGATTTTCAATGTTTACTTTTAACTAAACTGTTATTGAATGTACAATACATTTCTGTTCAATTAACTAAATATTAGAATGCATCCAGTCATCAAATTAGTCACTTTGATGATTTCATTACATTGAATCCAAGATCATATTACTGGCTTGTACTTATTGGTTGATTTATGCCTGTTAGGTGTATCAGATAGCTTACTTACTTACTTACTTTCGCCTGTTACTCCTAATGGAGCATAGGCCGCCGACCAGCATTCTACAACCCACTCTGTCCTCTGCCTTCTTTTCTAGTTCCATCCAATTCTTGTTCATTTTTCTCATGTCTATCTCCATTTCCCGGCGTCATGTGTTCTTTGGTCTTCCTCTTCTCCTTTGGCCTTGAAGATTCCATCTGAGGGCTTGCCTTGTGACACAATTGGGTGCTTTCCTCAATGTGTGTCCTATCCACTTTCAGCGCTTCTTCCTGATTTCTTCCTCCGCTGGGATCTGGTTTGTTCGCTCTCACAGTAGGTTGTTGTGATAGTGTCTGACCAACGGATTCGAAGTATTTTGCGTAGACAACTGTTAATGAACACCTGTATTTTCTGGATGATGGCTTTCGTAGTTCTCCAGGTTTCTGCCCCATACAGTAGAACCGTTCTGAAATTTGTATTTAAAATCCTGGCTTTTGTGGTGGTTGACAGTTGCTTTGAGTTCCAGATGTTCTTCAGTTGTAAACATGCTGCTCTTGCTTTGCCGATCCGTGCCTTCATATCTGCATCAGATCCACCCTGTTCATCAATGATGCTGCCCAGATATGTAAAGGTTTTTACATCTTCCAAATCTTCTCCGTCAATTGTGATTGGGTTGGTGCATGCTGTGTTGTATCGGAGAATCCTGCTTTTCCCTTTGTGTATATTGAGACCTACTGCTGCTGAGGCTGGTGCTACACTGGTCGTCTTCTCCTGCATTTGTTGTTGCGTTTGGGATAGAAGGGCCAGATCATCTGGAAAGTTTAGATCGTCCAACTGCATCCTAGATTTCCATTGTATCCCGTGTATTCCCTTCAGATGTTGACGTCTTCATGATTCAGTCGATCACAAGGAGAAAGAGAAAGGGTGAGAGTAAGCAACCTTGCCTGACACCGGTCTTTATTTCGAACGACTTTGTCAACTGTCCTCCATGCACGATTTTGCAGTTTAATCCATCATATGAGTTCTGTACGATATTGACTATCTTCTGAGGCACGCCGTAGTGTCGGAGAAGCTTCCATAATGTTGTTCTGTCCACACTATCAAATGCCTTTTCGTGGTCAATGAAGTTGATGTAGAGTGATGAATTCCATTCAATTGATTGTTCCACAATTATCCGTAGAGTTGCGATTTGTTCTGTACACGATCTATCCTTACGGAATCCTGCCTGTTGGTCACGAAGTTGGGCGTCTACGCAGTCCTTCATCCTGTTTAACAATACCCTGTTGAAGACTTTTCCCGGTATTGAGAGAAGAGTGATGCCCCTGTAGTTATCACACTTGCTGAGATCGCCTTTCTTCGGTATTTTGATCAGTAGTCCTTCTTTCCAGTCTGTTGGTACTTGTTCCTCATCCCAAGTCTTATTGAAGAGAATGTGGGGTATCCTTGCAGTTACCGCTACATCTGCTTTTAGTGCCTCTGCTGGAATGTTGTCTGGTCCTGCTGCTTTTCCACTCTTGATTTGCCTGATGGCCATGCTTATCTCCTCAATTGTTGGTGGGCCAACATTGATTGGGAGGTCCGGGGGTGCTGCTTCGATGTTGGGTGGGTTCAGTGGGGCTGGTTGATTCAAGAGTTCTTTGAAGTGTTCTACCCACCTGTTTTGTTGCTCTTCAATGTTGGTGATTACCTCGCCTTCCTTGCTTTTCACTGGTCGTTCTGGTTTGCGGTGATTTCCAGAGAGTTTCTTTGTCGTGTCGTACAGTTGTCCCATGTTTCCTTCTCATGCAGCCTTTTCCGCCGTCGTTGCTAAATCTTCCACATATTTACGTTTGTCGGTTCTGATGCTCCTCTTCACTTGTTTGTTTACTTCTGTATATTCAGCTTTTGCCTTGGCTTTTTCTGCTCTTGTTCGACTGGTATTGATTGCTGCTTTCTTGTTCCTCCTTTCTTGAATCTTGTCCAATGTATCAACAGTGATCCATTCCTTGTGATGGTTTTTCTTGTGGCTCAGGACCTCATGACATGTTGAAGTGATTGCCTCTTTGATCTCCTTCTGGTTGCTCTCCATAGTAGTTCCTTCTCCATTGAGTAGATCATGAAAGGCCTGGAACTTATTGCTGAGGACTATCTTGAATTTGTTGAGTTTGTCAGTGTCCTGAAGAAAGGCCGTATTGAACATTTGTGATGTTGTCCGCCCCACTGTCCAGTGTTTCTTGAGTTTCAATTTCATCTTGGCGACCAGCAAGTGATGATCTGAGGCTATAGCAGCTCCTTTCTTTGTTCTCACGTTTTTCATCGTCCTCCTGAACGTTTTGTTGATGCAAATATGGTCGATTTGGTTTCGTGTGGAGTGATCCGGTGAAGTCCATGTGGTTTTGTGAATGCGTTCATGTGGGAATATGGTGCCGCCTATGACCAGTTTAATGAAGGCACACAGGTTTGCAAATCTCTCACCATTTTCGTTCCTTTCTCCCAGTCCGTGTAGTCCCATGATGTCTTCATATCCAGTGTTGTCCGTTCCAACCTTGGCATTGAAATCTCCCATCAGAATGGTGAGATCCTTTGTTGGGCACTTCTCGATGATTGACTGCAACCTATCGTAGAATTGATCTTTAGCGTCTTCATTGTAGTCGTTGGTAGGCGCATAGCATTGGATGATGTTCATTGAAATGCCTTCTTTCTTTGTTTTGAAGGAGGCTTTGATGATCCTTGGTCCATGAGATTCCCATCCTATAAGTGCGTTTTGTGCTCGTTTGGACAGCATCAATGCAACTCCTTGTGTATTTGGAGCATTTTCTTCTTCATGGCCGGCAGTAGCCCCAGGAAGGACTCCAAGCGGAGTTATCAGATAGCTTGTATAACCTTTATTCATTTTATACTAGGTAAAGTTCGACATCACGGAATCTTAAGGTGTGATCAAGTATTGAAAGTCCAAAATTTCTAATTTTACACTATTTTATTGATTATTAATGATCAATGTAGTAACAGTATACTATGAGGATCAACAAAATAAGAATAATTTTGATTGGTTTTCAAGCTATTCAATAGCATATTTTGACAGACAATCTTTCATTATGAACTGATGTCAGCTGACGAATTATTGAAAATGAGAGTTCTTTATAATTATCTTGTTTGGAGTTGAATCATTTCAAACGTAGACGCACTTAAGTTCATATCCCATGAAGCTGGTGATAACTAGGTTACGGTTTGACTCGGAAGTTGCCGCATTATATCAACAAAGTAAAATTAAACCAACATCTAGAATATCATAGAATCATCAAAAATCTCGTATTGTGGTAATGGCTTTACTGATTTGATAATGAAGTACAAATAAGCGTAACTATGAGGTATAATAATCATTTAATGGGAACATTGGACTTTTATACCCATTAAAAACACAATTAACTCCAAAGTTCCTACTTGTAAATCAGAACTTTTGTTAGCCGACTACTGTGATTTCTGTCTAGGATTCTCATATGACGATAGATTTGTCTTCGTAAATCATTCTACTCCCTATAATTTCGTAACAAAACCTTCAAGTAGTTCAGTAGCGTATGAAACTGAATAAAATTATTTTCATTCTTCATTAAATGGAAGACATACTGACATTTTCTATCAATTCATTTTGTAGTTAGTAATTAATCATTATGTTTCTGATTTCTACTCTCAGACTATCTTGAATTTGCTCTTGTCATTTGTTAATTATCGTCAATTTCTTTCCAATAGTATATAGAGGTACATTTCATTGCTCTTGGTCTATCCTCTTACATAGTGTTTGATTATAATGCTATCTCAAAATAAACACACTTTTTCTCAACAAGTTATCTACCAGCTTTACATAAACTCATTCATAAACTGATTATTAAAATAACCAGTCACATATCTATACTTTTGTTCTTATTGTCTTTAAAATGGTTAATGGAACTATGTGTATGACATATCTATACAAATAACCTGTTGTCGTTTACCCAAAGATAATGAGTGATGTTGAAAGAGACCCCTAATCGAGGTTGAACCTAAAATAATCAATCTGACAGTTGTTATATAAACAACTAAGTGAATCGCTCATCGGTTGAATGAGTCTTTATACGGTAACTATTCACGTTTTACATATATTTCTGGTTTATTTCAATCAGACAGCAATTAAATGAATAGATTATATAACTAATTATTCAAGATAACCGTAGTTAACCGTGTTTTCGGTTTTTATAAAGAGTATGACTAGGGTTGAAAGATGATACATTCTGTAGTTTAGTCGTGCAGCTTGTCAAGTTAATTTCATGCTCAATAATCTGAAACTCACTATAGAGGATTATATGACAACTTAAATTTTATTTTAGTAATCATTTTATCAACTTCATACAAACAGGAAATCTTCCAAACACAGTCTAATTAGTAAAAACAATAATAAAAGTAATAATATTCAAGTGAAAGGAATCCTGAATCGACTTACAGCACACACATTATGTGGTATCACTTCCTGGACTACATAAAAGATATTTGATAAAAGTCCATTCACAAACATTCCACACTGAAAAAAGAAATATTCAAGTGAAAAAGAAGAATACTAAGATTTCCCACTTGCTTGAACTCAATATTGCCCAGGACAGAGTTCAATGGAGAATCCTGATGAGCAGCCTATACTCCTTCACGAGGGGTAACAGGCATAAATAAGTTGAACTCAATATTAGAATAAAAGTTCTAGTTGATAAGCAGTGTCAATATAATTCAGCTCATGCAATATCATCCAAACGTTTCATCATAGACTATAATCCATCATGAGTGTGTGCCTATTATATTTTTTAATCGGTCAATCTAAAATACCTTTACTTGATTTATTCAGGAACAACTATCTCATGTTGGAATAATTTGTTTTCATAATATTGACACATAGAACATTCCCTGAAATGGTTGTATCACGTGCTACATTAAAGAATAAATTGTGATATGAGGAAAGTTGATGAGAGTTACAAATTTCAGTTTGTAATCTATGGCATTGTATTGTAAACTCAAAGGCTATTGGATACTATTCGTAATGGAATTAACTATAAATGAGAAAGGATGGGTACTTCAATTGATAACGAATTATCATCCAGCAGTTATTTGTTTACAAAAAAAAACACTTTTACTCTAAATTACATATTCACTTCAAGTGTGATAAACAGTGGTTCTTTACAAATTGACTTATACATACTAACGATGAGATGATCGAACAAATCATCAGAAAACCCTATATTTACAGCAACCTGTCCCAAGTAAAATGTAGGTCACAAATAGACTGGATATTCAAAGTTTTCGATACAATGATTAAACGCAAAGTTTATTTTGAATGACTGACTGTAAAGAAAGTTATCTGTTATATTTCACTGTTAATACCCTTTATTGCATTTGTTAAAATCACGCATTTAAGTCGACTAGATCAAAGTTACGAACATACATTCTAGTTAATTAATCATTACCAACTTCTGTAGTTTGATATGAGTAAGCTAAATAGTCAGGTCAATGAAACAGAGAAAACTTGCCATCGACTTTAAAAACACAACTCTTTATTTATGGCAACAAATGATCGAGAAATCAACCTTTCAAAAACAAGAATGTAATATACAATCAAAAGTCTGGTTTAGATTAGAAGATGATATCAAGAAATCTAGGCACCAATGATTATTGATTAATGGCTTGAAAATGATCAATTGATTCAGAAATGTAATAAATAAGTTATATTCTGTAACTTGATAAATTATATAATCTTCCTTAACAGTAAATTACTCACCGTTAAATAAACCTAATGATGAAATCATTACTTGAAGGAATTGAGTAGTTTAATTCCCTTGGTTTTTCAAGTACGATTCATTGATAGATGTTGATAAGAACAAGATATAAGTTTTGGAGCTTTCTGTTTACCACCTCTAAATATCTCATATCCAATAAAGAGCACTTAGAATATTGCTGACATTGAAGAGTCAACAGATATAATGTATAATTTATCAAGTCTCAGACTATTTAAGGAGGTAAAAGTTTGTTAGTAGAGCTATTTCTGATATCAGAAGTTATTCGATAGCAATGAAAATAATCCAAGACAAATAGAATAATCCTTCAATGATATTATGCAATTCATTCTTGTTTATTTTGAAATCATATTACAAATTGATAGTGACTAAACAGATATTGAAAACTAAGGTATATCGAAGAATACTTTCATTGTTGTCATATTTTAAGTAGTATACATTTACGATGTTATGTAAGATCAAATCCTATACATTAGACTCCACGTAATAATGTACTATACTTTCAGATGATATTTCATGTACCGACACCTAGTCCATTACCACTGATAAGTTGAAATATTGTGGTCTTTTTTATTTCACACATTGGTACCATATTTTATAGTAATGGCTATTGGTCCTATAAATTTACGATAACAATATGATCGCTGTTAAATGACTGTTGTTTGGCAAGAAATTAATTAAAATCCAGGAAACTGTTAAGCGTTGAAACTTTCCAGTATCAGAGTTTTTTGGTCTGACAAGAGAGTATGATGCTATTGATTCGAAAAATTACAGTTTACAATTTTAAAACCTTCAGTTAACGTTTACTTCCTGTTACAAAGTCTAACATCAGTTAAACAATCGAATTTTTATGCATGAAATCCTTGGTTATATAATGGTGGGGAAGATTTATAGTTCAGGTGAATGATTTTGAGCTGGATGGTTTGATCGTCTAGCTCAGAGAATAAAACTTTTGGTGTCGGTTATTATGTTAAGCCCATATACTTTATTCTCGCTTTCGGACAGCCCAATCTGTTCATCCTACTTGAGTCACACTTTGACCTTGTTAATTATCCGCTTATCAATCTTCACCGTTTTTATATGAGCCATATGTGTTTGTACACTTCTTATCCCACTACTTATATGTCTGTAACCTATTTTTGTGTCACTATAAATATCGATTAACGCTTGGTTAAACGGGAGTTGGCTTACCCGCCATTCCACTGCGCGTTGTTTCTCTTCTCTCTATTCCATTCGCTTCATATACAAAATATATGTATTCAAAAGTCCATTCTCGCTATTTGACTTATCTAAATCTGTTATTGACTAACGCTATTAAAGTCGATGATTATATACGAGGATAGGCGACATATATATATTTCAACAACAATCATCAATACATTCACCTTGGAGTCAGATCTCGGGCCACTAAAGTGGAGAGCTCTTTCGACAACATCGTTCAATCTAAATGACAACAAAATTAAGGGCCCTACAAACTATCAAAATTCTTCGTTGTTAATTTTTCTGCGTTTGACTTATAAAATCACTTACTCTATCATAGTTACTGAAAGACACATTTATATGCATGATTAAGTTGATATTAAAAGAAGTTAATAATTACTTACTGAGGTATTAAATGGACCACTTCCCATGCAAACATTTTTAATTATATCACTGATTGATACATTTGCTGCTGTACTTATAATTATATTTTTGGCTTGTTCAACACCGGATACGCATGCCATACACTCTAAATTGCGAGAGAGAAGAAAAAAACAATATACACAATATATGATATGAATTGTAATGGAGGAACAAAGTAGTAGATCTAATAGTACAGTGCCTTTCTGTAATAAAATGTTTAAATGATCGAAAATTTTTAATATGGAGAGGAATAACTTAATTCATTGGAGTACGAATGACACATAAAATTCACGTTTCTCAATCGTTTGTGACACTTATTTACACGTTAAGTAAAATTACTGATGCTTAATTAGTAAATATGTAGTCACATAGTAAGTTATTATCAGGAAGGGGTCTTGTGGAGATTGTAGTAATTTATTAGTTGGATTCATGAATTAATTGATGTTAGACCACTATGGAAAACCTGGATGCACTTGACGGCCGTCTCGTCCTAGTATGGGACTCCTCAGAAGTGCGCATCGAGGACCTTCGATCAATTCAATTTATACAAATCTGGCTGTTAATTCGACTGAAAATAAACTATACATTATGTGTTGTCTTCATAACTCATCTATTGATTTATTTGGGAGTCAAATAAATCTTTGTCAACAGTCTATGCTTTAAAACACTCTAGACCTCTACTGTTGTATTCAATTTGACAAGGGCCTTTAGTCTGGGGTTATCGTAATTGTCTGAGAAACCCAATCGATAGTTCAGTTATCGCACTTATCATTACTTTTATCGCCAATACACATAATGTTATCAATAAAATTGCCTGAAGTCAACTAACATGTCTATTCCTTGTATGTTTTGTTGAATAAGATACGTAAAGTATTTGCAAATAGTCTATTCGACGAAGCCAACCACGAATGAACTACATAATGCAAAGTATTCATTTACTAAATCGCTTTTATATCATTTTAGATTTCTTTATTAGACTGGTTGTTGTGACTATATGAAATATGCTATGTATCACTAAATCTTCATTGAAACTTCATTAAAATCTATCTTGTAAATTACCTAAAATGTTAAATTACAGTGTTTGAAAGAAATATATTTTGTTACTTAGATACATCATGGTTTCTCTCAATCGATTCATTAATATACAACATTTCATTAGGGAATATTACATTCGATGTGTTGAAAATTCCTTGAAGTGATTCTGTCTTATTTAATTGACAATACAAATAAACCAGTTCCGAAATTGTGTATTTCAAAGTTGATACAAATATACACACAAATCATTCCGTATCAATATATATTTTGTAAGTCAATTGAAACTTGATCACCATGGAAAACCTGGAAGCACTGGACGACCGTTTCGTCCGCACCCCGTGAGACTCGAACCCAGGACCTATCAGTCCAGCGCCAGGTGCTTAACCAACCAGACCACTGAGGCGGTATCCAACGGTGTTAATGTCTAACTCCAACCAATCCACGAAGTTCGCGGGGTGCAGGATCGTGGATGTGGAGGAGTCCCAATCTAGGACGAAACGGCCGTCCAGTGCTTTCAGGTTTTCATGGTGATCTAGCTCCAATTGACTTATGATTTCAATCAGTGAAATTTCTAAAATCTCCACAAAACCCCTTCTGATATATTTGTAGTTTAATGAAGACAAGTACACTTACGATAAAGATTTGGTTGTCTTCGTCTTCTAAGATCCTGCTTTTTTTAAAGAAATAAATTATAAAGGATAAATTGAACAGAAAGATAAAATGCCACTGGCACGTATTCAATCGTGTATAAATGATCTGTTCAGTATATATTAAAATAAAATCGGAACTAATCTGCAATTCTGTCAAGTTTTAATCATTCTAGTCCCTAACAAAACCGTTCGAGTATGAAGCTTCCACACTGTTCACAAATAACCAGTTACTTGAGCTTAGTCTTATCAACCTAATATGGTATATCAAAACTAAATGGATTTTTGAGTAAAATATGAACGTAGAACACTGAATGTTTTAGTCTAAGCACATCATTCAATAAATATATTGATCTAAACTTGTAATAACCTGGATTATAACATTGTTAATATTTTGACTGAGATTCGATCAGTCTTGATTGACATATGTATATCCTATGCCGATTGTCTTGCTGTAGCCGCAGGTTAGTATTGATTGTTACAAGTAGTAATAAAATGTTTCGTTAATTTAAGTTATAAAGTTAATTTCAATCCAGTATAGTTATCTACATAAAACAGATAGGATATAACTAGCAGTGGAATCCATGACGCACGCTTCATTCTATTTAGGTCTCGTCAGCTGGATTTACTGGCATCATAAAGTTGATGCCCAGTCCGTTGCAAGAGTGAATGACTACTTGGACTAAATAGTTAACTGGATGGCAATTGAAGCAAAAAGATAATGAAATGAGTCGTCGGAGAGGATACGAACTCTAGGATTCAGGTAAATCCATCTGACGAGTCCCGAATAGGGCGAAATGTGTGTCATGGATTTCATTGCTAATTACATCTCGTCTATTTCATATAGATAACTATATTGGCTTGAAATCGACTTTTTAACTTAAATTACCGAAACATTTTATCACTACTTGTAACAATTAATACTTTCTTGTTGCTGATCATAATGACTGTATTAAATTAGTATACATTTAGCACATGCACATCATGAGAGGATACTTTTGACTTTGCCATTTATACACAGTTTTTATTAAATTTGGACCCAGTAACAGAGTAAACAACGGGTTGAATTTTAAACTTATAGGCAATTCGGTCCAGTACCAGTGTAAACATGTACAGTGAAATGTATATAGGTCTTTATCCGTTTAAATTATACACACCTGAATGATATATTTTGGTTCTCTTCAATTGTTTCATACTCGTAATATAGATTTGTGTGACTGTAGGAAGTTGCCAGAAACTATGTGACCTGATTTTCATGTATATTAATGAGAATTAGTTTGGTATTTTTAGTGTTCAACCCAAAGTTGCAACTCACCTCTCCATACAATACCCTCATGAATATTTAAAATAATCCATATTAAATCATGTGTTATAATAAAATTATATCAACCAATGTTATTAAATGGATTAGTATAAAATAGCATTACAAAATCACAATTGATCTATGAATAATCTAATGAATTATCAGGGGTTTCGTGGAGATTTTAGTAATTTTATAGTTGAATTCATGAGTCAGTTGAAGCTAGACCATCATGAAAAACCTGGAAACACTGAACAGCTGTTTCGTCCTATTATGGGAATGTTCAACAGTGCGCATCCATGATCCCGCCTCACGAGATTTGAACCCAGAAACTATCTGTCTCATGCTCAAACGCTTAAACAATAAACTAATGAGCCAGCATCCAATGGTGTAAATACTTAACTTCAATTAATCCACGAAGTTGAGCGACACATACACTTTTGTCTCCAGTGGGTTACCGTCTCACAACAGACCCAATCGAACTCTACTGATAACTGCTTTTCATAAGAACTCTAGGAAATAGCTCTAGAAAGTTGTAATCTTTCAGTCTACTTCATATGAAAAACAAAGATTATAAATATCTCAACTTCATTAAATATTCAGTCAGACAATTTTCATTGATTTTACTGACCTTTTGAACTTGTAACTGTTGTGTAGAATCTTCCATTGCATTATTCATACAGAATACTGAAATTTCAAAAGAATACAATGTAAGATGAATAAGAAATTTCATGAATTCACTACTTACCTAATGAAATAAGTAAACATAATATACATAATGATTTCATAGTTAATGGTTAATTATTATCATTCTACTTTAATTATATAATGAATATTTATACATAAATTGATCAAGAATTGTTTTTCTTTATCATTATTCCTTTATCTTTATCAACTGCATGAACTACATGATTGATCTTTGTTCACTTCAATAACAAAAATTCATTGTCACTTATCTTCGTTTCAGTTTCAACATGAATATGAATGTTAAAAAATAAACCGTGGGTAAAGTCCTCAAAAAAATTAATAAGAAGAAGGTAATAAATGTCTATAATATTTCATTGATGTACAATTGTTTATAGGTTTTGAATAAAATCAATCTTTTGTTTAGAATGTAAGTTTACATATATCACATCGAAACTCTGGTATCTCCTCATTCTCGGATAAATCTTTCACCATTTTACTAAAGATTTCCGTAGGGAGGCACAATACCGATGAGTCTAATCTCATTTTTTCCAACTCCTTCTTCGCACGGAGTATTATTTGTCCTGAAAAATCTATGTTGTACCAAAATATAACATAGAGTAAAGCCATTATTAATAATAATATTAATATATTTTCGTAAAATTCACCGACACCAGACAAATGTATAGTGAACGAAATGACTCCTTCTCACCGGCGTATACACACAATCTGTTATCTTAACACTTTTCACTTCACACCACATGTCTCTTACACACTAATATATACACCTACTTTAAACGTTGTTAACGTTGATTAGATGTCCTATTCAGTATACAATAAACCGGAGAATACTGTACTTATTTATATTCGATGAATTTGATGTTTGATTATTATTTCCTTAAGAAAACTTGCACCAGATTTCCAGACGAAACGTTGAATTTACTTGAAATTCATTTGCTGAGATTTTACAAATACATTCTTTCTCTTTAATGTCCCACATTAACTCGGCACCCAAATATTTTGAAACTATTCAATCAAATTTAGACGAAAGTTCTTCTATATTAGATTTGATAAGTTAAAAAAAATTCAGTAATGTACAGTTTATCTACAATTTTTAAAATTTCAATGTATTTATGGTGTTCCAGTGAGCATAAAATGCAGTTTTTGACGTTTTTGTAACTTACAGTTTAGTTGCTTCTTCAAAAGTTGAATAGCCAAATTCAAATGAAGATATGATTGAATGAATAATTAAGTGTCTTATGTGATATAATAGACTTGTCATCAATATGTCTTTTGTGATAATTTATAACGTTAACAAAAGCTGTCAATATTCACTATTTTCACCATACCCAGTTAACTCATGATTGAATTGATATGGAAATTCACGATAAACAACCTTTATTTTACTGTAAAATTCTGTTGGATTTAAAAATTTCGTTCATGTAGTGTACGTACTTATAAGTAGTATAACTCTTAAAACATAATTCAACCTCTAAGATTAGTATATTTTGATGAAAATTGAAGTCACAAATCTGGTAGTTTCACTCAATATATTCATCGTCCTATCTAAATGAAGTTTAGAGAGTAAGTAGAAGGCCAACGGAGTTGATTTGTTCTGTAGAATATGAAATCGTGGATAAGTTCAACCATAGTTGATTTTCTTTTCTTCGTTCAATCAGTGTTTCAGTAGACATATCAATTTTGTATATACTGTGAGAGAAATCAGCGATTCGTAATTACAATCGACAGTCGATTTCTATATACTAGTCCCTGTGTTATGAATATCACACCTGAAATTAACCAGTAGTAATACAAATATCTCGTTGTTGGAACTATGTTAACGATTTCCATTAATTTGTTGTAAAAGCATGATAGAAAGCATTAGCTGATACAAACTATGTTACCATGATCATTTGAGTGACAAATATCAAGATATTGTAAATTTACTGAACTTATTCAGCTTGTTATACTTCTAATGAACGAGAACATAAGTGGGGACAACCAAATGTATCTCAATACAAAATTACCGAATGTCTTAGTAAATACTCCATTTACAAAATGTTAATCAATTATATCAAACTTGACTGTTCCTTCGTTTTCGCACCAATCATTGTCTGTTCTCGTTCTCTTTTTTCTATCCTCATAACCTTCTACCACTAAGCATTTCATTTTCGATTGTTGATACATACTACTTATATCTGTAAACATCGCTAGCACACACCATACTATGAATAAATTAATAGTAAATTGGCTAAATATCTAATGTATTCAGATGATTATTATAATTCAGTAAACTGGAGAATTGAGAAACCACTAGAAACCAATGAACGCAAACGGCTGTTTCATTATAGTTTATTTCTGGAGGACAATAATTAATTCACTTGCTCAAACAGAATGCAAAACGTTCACATCTCATAACGAATAAGATGTCATTCAATCGAAATTCCAATCTATTGTTTACCGTTTTTAACTGTCATCATACTCACAAAAAGACCTGATGCTTACAATTGAGAGTTTATAATCAGTACCACCAAACTATACTATAACAGTTACGTGCTTCTCTCGAGTATGTAATAATATTCAAATAGATGTTCACTTGTAAAAATAAACCACCTTCTAAACAAAATACTTAGGACTATACAGTAAGAAATATCTACATTAAATCCACTAGTTCAGTATACTTTTACTTTAAAGGTTTTTTGAGCTTTAATTTTATCTGTAGGTGGTATTTGTTACGGATTGATCACAATCAACTTACTATTAAAAAATTAGGAGCATTCGATGGTTGTTTCATCCTTATATTTGACTCAACATTGCAGACCCACAACTTTAAATGTTCCTGGAATTTTATCGGCAAGTTAAAACCTATGAAGTTCAGAAATGTTGGAAGTAAAACAGCCATGTCAGTGACCTTAAACAATCATTATGAATCGATTGAAGTTTGAAACATGTATCAGTGGATGATAATCCAGTGATTTGATGGTTTAATGCACATAATTTGACTTAAAAGTTCTGGTTCCCATCTCTGAGTGTACATTCTGAAAGAGTCCTATACTAAGGAAAGACAACTATCCAACACTCCCTAACTTTCAATGTTACCCCAATTGAATAAATTACACACACAGTAAATACAAATATATAAGAGTCTAGAATTATATTGGCTAAAATTTAACCATCTTCATATACTCCCTTCCATGATTAATTAGCTTTGAACACACCTAATAGATGATCTAGAGTCAATCTATCATTTACAAGAAGTCCTTAACAATAGTTTATTTCATTTACTTAAATAAACCTTAAAACGTTTCTCCTAGTACACAAACTGAAACTTGTTTTTCTTCTCAAAAAAGGGGGTATGTGATTGTTAGCATTTAGATTATAATAGTACCAATCAAAGTGAATGAACGTTTGACTTTAGGTCGATCAATATTTAGGTCACCTCTATAAGAAATAAATAACTATTTAAATAAATAATAAACAAATAATAACTGATCTATCTTTTCTTTCCTGATCTGGATCACTAATGATCATAGATTGAAGGATTGAATTATTAAAACGTTCATTGAATATCTAACTATGATTGATAATATTCAACACTTGCAAACATGAACAATTCTCAAGAACTTCTATTCTCACCATACAGACGAAACCCCGGTGAGTATACAAATAAATTAAATGATAATTTAGTCATAAACTATGTTATTTTGAAAATATGGATGATTGATTCTTGACTTTTTTTTAAAACTTTTTCATGGTAAATGACTTTATTCAGAGTACAATATGGAATTCGTAGAACACTTATTGATCTCTCTTAAATCTACTTGATATACTACCTGAAGATCATAGATTTAATCCTATCTGAGATCTTTTTTTATGTGTAGTTACTGTCTAGGAGTTGCAATCTTAGATCTAACAGTTATTTATCAATGGTTGATTTTGCAATGATGCTCGAAATGATAACAATCCGTTACAAAATCTGTCTTTAATACTATTCAGTTGTTTGACTATATCTAATATTGAACACAAAAACATAACACAACATACTTGTTATTTTTAATTATGTATACCATAAGAAGATTTGCTAGTCGGATAACCACTGATCTAGGTTAAAAAATTTTAAAAGTTTGGATTTTCTAGACTGTTAATTAATATTCATAACTTTAGAGAAAGTCATATTTATTAGTTATCAGGAGAATGTGATTCTCTGGTGTGTGCTACTGATGTCGACACATATAAGTAGTATGTGTCATCAATCGAAAGTGAAATGCTTGGTGACAGAAGGTTAAAAGGATAGAAAAAATAAGAACGACAACAATGATTGATGTGGAAATGAAGGGAAATTCAAATCTGAGACGATTGATTGACATTTTGCGAATGAAGTATTTACTGTATGGTTCTATGATTTTACTGAGATATTCTGTAATTTTGTATTGAAATATATTTTGTTGTCCCCACTTGTGCTCTCGTTAACTGCGGTTCTACCTAATAAAAATATGTCATTCCATACTGTGGGTTACAAGAATACTGTCTTATGCGACATATAAATATGTAATAATCTTTGAACCACACTTACTATGAGCGTTATTGGAAAAGAGTGAAGTTCAGACGAGCTAAATAATAGTTGAAAGTCGAGCGTTTGAACAATTAAAACATTAAAATGTATAACACATAATACTAACTAGCATAGATAACTGGATGCCACAATGGTAGTAAAAGTGAATTTGAAAGCTCTGTCATTCTTAACCTCATTGGTTTTCAGTATCATCAGAAGTTTACCGGAATAAATTCTTGTTCAGTAACCGAAGATCACCTTTAAGTTATTCGTTACCTTGGTTTTATACTCCATTTGACTTTATTGGAATTTCATAGCAGTTATTGTTCATCACTAAAATTTATCTTAAATAATTGATGTAATTAATGTATTATGAAAAGTTCTCATTCCGGTTAACTTGGTTTTGCATTCAACCACAATCGTCGTTACAACAGATCCCTTGAAAGAATGAATTAAAATATATCGAAGTGTTCTTCACCGTCCTCATTTTAGAATAAGTAGGGTAATGTTGATTACGCCTGCAATGGTAACTAGTGACGTTTCTTCAATCATAGGAAGGAAGATCATTGTTTTAAAGACACCACTAACGCCGTTACTAAAATAGTTAAAAATCACAGTGTAAAATATTAATTCTCTTGAAAGTCAT